CGTTTTGCCTGTCCCCACCCTTGAAGATTGGAGAAAGGATGGCTCTTTTCCACTCCCTTGGCAGGGTCCCCGAATCCATTGAGTGTTGGAACAAGTCGCACAGGGGTCTACAGAGAGCCTCGGCGCACTGTTTCAGAACAGATGGCCTGATGTCATCACAACCTGGGGACTTCCCAGGTATGAGTCGCTGTAGCTTCCTTAGTACTATTGCGGGGTTTATTTGGGGAGTAGTCGCTAGGTCTTCCTCCTCTGAAATAGTGGTGCCACCATTTTGGTCCGTAACTGTAATATCCACATTGCTGTTTAGCTGTTTAGCGAAGGCTGAACTGAATGTTTCAGCCATCTCCAGACTAGTGAGATATTGACCGTTTGGGCCTACTAAGGCGCATGCCCCTTGGTTTGTCGGTTTTCTTTCCGACATGAATCGGTACAAGTTTTTAGGGTTTGATAGGAGTTTTTTAGCAAGGTTAGCCTGGAATGACCTTCTGTCCCTCCTAACTCTTGCATTACACCGGTTCCTGAGTTCGAGGTATGCATCATGGTCGGTCTGACTCTTAGATACACGCCACGTAAACCAAGCCTTCCGCTTTGCTTGCAGAATACGTTGCGTGCCTCTCTTCAACCATGACGTCTTTCTCTTAGGCTGTGTTGTGACTAAAGGGACGGTATCCGAGATTGCTGTATGGATAATCTTTTTTACCACTTCCCAGTGTTCATCCACAGATAGGTCGTCCCATGCTAAGGGCCAGTCTGCGTCGGACAAGAGCCTCCGCATTTCAGCATAGTCAGCCTTGCTGTAGCACAGACATGGTCGCGTAACATCCCATTGCAAACGCTCACGGAGGACAAGATCGAAACCTATGACTGCATGGTCACTGCTTCCCAGAGGAGTCATGATCTGGACCTTTTCGACGAGTAGCTGGTCACTAGTTAGAATATAATCTAGTTTTGATGACTTTCCACTAGGGCCCCACCTAGTGTCGTCTCCAACATTCTCAGTCAGTCCCGTGTTTCGAATAGTTTGCAGTAGGTTTCGGCCAAATTTTCCCTTAGCACACCCGGAGCCAAGGTTCAGTGATGGAGCATTGAAATCTCCAGCTATGGTGATTTGGTCGTAGCCCAAATCTCGTATTCCTGTGATAGTGCTGAGCAGTAGCTGATTGTGCTCTGCCCCACAGGTGGGAGATCGGTAGATGCCACCCAGTAAGTGCTTGGTGTGGCCTACGGTGAAATGACACCATATGGAGTCTGGGAGTTCGATAAGTGGTGGGTCCGTTGCGCGCACACATTTAAGTTGCCTATCAAAGTATATAGCAACTCCCCCTCCTTCCTTATTATCCCTGTCTCTCCTGACCAGTACCATATCACCTATACTGATTTCATTGTCGGCGATAGTGGGGTTTAGCCACGTTTCAGTAAGAATGATTATTTTCAGTTGAAGGTGTGCTTGGAGATTTCGGAGTTCACCTACTTTCCCTCTCAGCCCCCTCACATTGCTATATAGGCAACTGACAGTGAGTCTAACAACCTCAGAGTGTTGTGGGGTAGTTGACGTGAAACCGTCTGCTGGTGGGGGACTTGATGTTGGAACTAGTTGGCCGATTCCGATAGAACCGGCCCGTTGTAGTTTTTTTCAATGGATTTAGGCAGGACACTTGGGAGACACAGACTATTATTCTCAGAGCTGCATCGCTCTAGTGTCACCGAAGCTTGGGGTCGTATTAAAGCCTCAGTTTGCTGCCTCCTTATATTTCTGGGTCTGCTTTCACAGCATCGGATGTGTCCTCCAATTTTTCCCTTGGTCTCATACCACCGTTGAAGTGATATGGACAACTGCTCCGGGGAGTTGAATGTGACACACAGCAGCTTTGGAGAGTTAATCAATGTTAGATGAGCGGGACGAGGTAGTCGGAAAATGGAGATGGCTCCAGAAGCGCCAGGGGCCATCTGAGATGACAGCCATCTCCATTGTTGTACGTCGTGCATGTGTTTTTCACAAGCAGTGCCGGTTTCCAGCTCCGGAACACCGTGTACCACCATAGAGGTGGAAGGCATCAGTTCCGGTGACTCCCTCGCCATATTTCTGACGGCCCATGGTCTATCTTGCCGCGCTCTTATGTTAGAACTTCTGTCCAGGGCTAGTACCTGAGCCATTAACAGTACTTTTTCGGCCTCTTCGGCAGAGTCCAGTGTAACCCGTAATGGGGGTGGCTTACCCTGAGGCGTGTGGACACCCCTGTACAGTCTGCACAGTTTTGCTGAACTAATGTTCAGACCTAGTTTGCCACACAGGTTGGACCACTGTTCCTGATCAAACAGGGCCCGTTGTTCGAGCAAGCTATCCGTGCTCACAGGTACGTTAAAGAGGATGAGAGAGTTAGACCGACTACCCTCAGACTTAGGTTTTGCCTTCGGCTTCTTGCAGTCCTTTGCATCATTAGCAACATTAGGCTTCGTCGGTACCTGGACAGCCTTTTTTGTGTTGCCAGGCTTGCTAGTGGATGCAAGTGGTGCCTTTGTAATTTTGCCCTCCCCTGATGTGGATGGAACCTTGCTAATCTTCACCTTGTGAGAATTGGCATTTCCAGTCAGTAGGGCTGGTGTGTCCTTCTTTAAGTCTTTGACCAGTTTCGGCAGTGCGAGTTTAGCAGGGGGGAGCTGCATGATACTGTGTTGGGGCACAAGAGCATGTTATTTCTGCTATCCGCAGACACGCTTTGTGGGACTATGCCAGGGCGACAAAGTGGACACACGTACCAAAACCATGGGCATGGGTTATTTCTCATAAACTCATAGTATGCTTTCGGTACTTCTTTGTCACAACGGCAGTGCACCCATCGTTTGCAAAAATTACATTCAAACGCTGAATCAGTTTTAGAAACTGTGATGCTGCACGCCTGGCATTCATCCCCTTTCCTTGATGACGCCTTCGAGGTCTTATGACGTCTTGAACGTTTCCTTTTAGGCTTGATGTGTTTCACACACTGGCCTACAGTTGATGCAGGTGTAGAATTCTGTCCTTGTGGTATTGCCTGTGCCGTTTCAGTACTAGACTGTGGCAATGCAGGCGTTGTATCAGGGCAGACTAAAGCTACACGAGTCTTTAGGATCGGTATGCGGGAAGGGGTTGAAATCCCTGGATTTTTTCCTTCCCTGGCTGAAGCCCTTGTGACTACAGAGTACGGTATTCTAGTGGCTTTTTTAAGGCTGCTTTCAACAACCATATTAACAATCACTATAAATTATGCTATGTACGTCTAAGAGAGCAACAGTTTCTAACCAAAAGAGCAAGAATAAGACTGAAAAAGTGTAAGGCAAGGAAAAGAAAAGGTTTTCGACTTTACCTAGTACTTTCTGAATGATCGGCTTCACGGCAATCACGTGGTAGACCAACAAGTCTTGTTTCTCTGAACGAGTGAGGAAGATGCTGCTACAAAAGTAGCACCTGAAGCTTTGGCAGTAGTTCGAGACAGCTGGACTTACCACACAGAGATTTACTATGTAAGTAATGGTTGAATTAAATTCACCGGCTAGGAAGATCAGGTTTCCCAAACGGATAATTCACAGAATTGGTATTTTCCGGTTGGAGAGGAAAAAGCACGTCGTATTCAAGGAGCGCGCAGAATTATGTCAGAATCATATTTCATATCCTGTGGTGCATTGTTTGAAATGTAAACTCTACGCTGTTTTTTTAATTATTTTTATTTATTTCATTTATTTATTTTATTTTTATTTATTTATCTTTGATTTTTAAAAATCTTATATAATTTATGAGGTGATTAGATGCAATATACTGTAATGCACGCTGAAAATTCCATACCTGTACCACAAATACCGTTTGAAATAAAGCTGTTATTATTAAAAAAAAACACTGAGACCACGCATGGACGCTAAGTATGAAACAATTAAAATGAAATGAATGAGGTGACCTGGTGGTAAAAACTTTCGAAACAAACGAAATAACCAATTTTAACAGCAACGGAAACAAAAATGAGGTGAAACGCAAATTTGTGAACAGTGTGTATCAAGATAAGTTGTGAATAACTGCAAGATAAACGTAAAAGCCAATTTGTAAACGAACGTTTGGGGAACAACAATTCAACGTGGCTGACTACCATGGACGAAAGTACACTTCAGGTTTCTAATTCTTCCAATGACCTTGAGCATACAGAATAATTTCAATCGCTTTAAAGCAAATAAGAAGATTGGAACAAAGGAGCAAAAAAGACTAATGACACTGACAGGGAGATAAAAAGTAGGAATCGAGGATAAAATTAAACAGATGAGATATTTGTAACGGTAGAACATCCCATAACATTCAAATGCTTCCCATTTATAAGCAGGAATCTTTTGTTTCCATGAAAGAGCAAAATCTCTTCTCGAAGTCATCAACTAATGGGACTGTGTCGACTTTATTCTATAGTGAATTTCTTAAGTATCAATCTCTGAGGTAGAGAAGATAACCATCTATCATTTTTAGGGCCCTATAACTGTTTTGACGTATTCTCCTACGATGGGGGATCCAAAGAATTTATGTATTCCTATTTTGTCTGTGCAAGAGTATGAATAATTCATGTGTATGTGGACGATCTCCTTGAGCACAAACTACTGGTCTTCTAATTTATTGGTTGCAACTCTTGCCACTGGTTTTGAGGCGCTACCAGTAGGGTGCAAACCATACAATCCTTCCGAAATAAATCAATGTATCTCCACTTTTTGAGTTTAGCAGAACTGCAAAAATCAGGAGAATAGATTCTCTGCACTGGAATGCGATATGTATCTACAACTGTTCCAAAAACAACAAGAAGCGAACTCTGAAAAATCAGATTTTGTACAGGCACATGAAACAGATGTTAGATTATATACTGGGTAGGGCATATCTGTTGAGAAACTTCTCAGGAGACACTTAAACTTTCATCTTATAAATATGCATGGAGGTGACCGAACATACCCACCTGGTTCTTTGTTTAACCCGAGTCACAATCACCTGTTTGTTTCAATCCACCAACTTTGACATTCCATTCAAGGACACATTCTCGAAAATTTAGAACTGAAGTTATGCGTTTATGTGAGTCTACGAAAGCATCAATCAATAGTATGATGAAAGCAATACTGAGTGACCACTCAAATTTATTTTTAATTCCGCCTTGTCACTTTACGTGTTTCGTGGTGTTCATGCTTCCGTGAAATACTCTGGTTACACTCGAGTAGGCTTTTATTAAACGGAATCGCTTCAAAACCAGCTTAAGAGAACACCTTAGTGGCTTTCGCCAGTCAAGTTGATCATATAGGTTTGAGACAATTTTATCGAACAGATAGCTCACTTTTCGTTCAGTTTGTTTCGACTTATGGGTTATATCTGCCTAATCAGGTATTATAACATGTGTATGGGCTACAAGAGCCTAATATCCTTATTGCCTGGATCTGAGTCTGAAATTTAGATATTTATTTGTTATGCAGCGCTGCACGTAACTTATAATCAAAGATTTTCGCCTCAGCTTTTCTCGGGACTACTTGGAGATAACTCTTGCAATTCTCGTGAGGATCTGATCAGGTCTCTTGATTGTGGACAAATATGGTCACGATGACTCAAGTTCTGCCGGTGCATACTTCTAAGAGATTTCAGAAACGGAGCGGTAATCTACAGCGGACAAGACTGAAAAACAAATCTGCTCGAGCACGTCCTCACACTTACTGAGAGCTTACTCCTCGCTAGAAAACTACACTCTAGAAAAGTCAAATAACTGGTTATCTGTGTGCTCATGATTATAAAAGAGTGACGGAAACTTGTTTATTGGGAATGTCTCGTGGTATTCTCCGTGAGTTGCTTCGCCATATTTTGTTAGATCATGCAATATTACAAGCAATTTGTCAACGAACACCCATATTTATCTTTAATGATGGCTAGGATTAATAATGTATATGCAACAGTCTGTTGACATATGACTCGTGGTAGGGGCTAGCTTCTTATTGGAGGTGTTGAATTAAATCACTGCTTCACAATATATGCTGAACTGATGCTCACAAGTGATATTTAACACCAAAGATATCAGTAGAGTGGGTGAAATTGAAGGGGAAGTTTTTCTTTGAGGACTGGAAATAGGGACGTGAAGAAAATCTTGGGAGTGTTTCTGACGATGAATTCAACTACGGTACTTCATATGTGTGTTCACTTTTTTGTTTTGCCATCATAGTAAGTGGTATTTCCTAAGCTAATCTCACAGGAATCTCGTGAGTGATATAAATGTCTATGTTATGAGTACCAAGTAGTCCCGGTATGGCTTACAAAACGCAGCTATTCAGAACATCGTTCAACTCAAACTATAAGAATGTGAATATCACTGTCATTTTGCTTATAAATTCTCACACTTCTTCGTGCTGTTTTATTTCTGTAAATTAATATCCCCTTTGTATTCAAAATCCCCCTTTTACACATATAGGTCAAAAGCTTGATAACCTTTATCAATCAAAAACCAGAAGATGGGTTGCAATTATACTCGGAATATTGGAGTTGTTTTGGTTTAGTGGTTACTACTATGGTTTCAATTCGCTTATTCCAGCCTGGAAATCACTCAGGGTGTTTGCATATAACTGCAGCGATACGAGTAACACTTGCATGTATTATGATTATATGTTTGGAAATGGTTTTGTGGTATGGATTGTAACGCAAATGTGCTTGATAACATTCGCTGGACTGATCATGGATAAAGTTGGATTGCGGGCAATGAAGTTAATAGCTGTTTGTTTGTACTTTATCGGCACAGTGTTATTTGCTTATATACATGGTGATACGGAGTCACTTTACTTCATTTCTGGCATATTAGTTGCTCTTGGCAGCACATCGAATTTGATATGTAATCACCAGATTACTTCGATGTTTCCCAAATATCGTGGAATATGCATTTCTCTCTTATCTGGTGCATTCGATTCAAGTACGCTTATCGTTTTCATATTCTCTAAGACGTATACGCAACTATCTCTGCAAACATCTTTCACCATCTTAGCAGTCACCTCACTTTGTGTCGGTTTATTTATGGCTATATTTATTCTAACTACAAAGTCGGGTGATATGAGCAGGTTTGCATACAGCAATGAAATGGTTGAAAACAGTCACCTTAAAGGACGTGAACGGGTGAAAGCTCCTTCCGATGGTACCAATGGAAATACTGAAAAGATGGTAGGTGTTCTTATTCGTAAATAATCTTATTGTTTGTGAATTTTGTGAATGGGAATAATTCTTGATCACTGTGTCTGTTGAATCAGCACTCAGCCGGTGAATACTCAAGTGGACGAGGTGTCTGCTTGTAATTCATAATTATCTCATTCATAACGCCATATGTGGTATAAAATTGTTTAAGACGCTTGATTATGAGGTATTCCATTTCTCACTGATACGTGCCTCTATTCAGATCTGAAAATCAGACCTCTCCAGATGGAGGAGTGTTTTATTTCTCCGGAATCTTAGTAATTAGCTGATGACAGAAAATATAATTAGTTTTCTTGGTCATCACTTTGACTGTTACTTCTTTACTGATTTCTCGATTACTAGCAGTTAAATGTCGGTATGCAATTTTGTCAATTTCGCTGATACTCAATACACCTGTTAACTCCTCGGCTGGAACTTAGTGTCAGATTTAACGTGAGGTACACATATTCGGCATTAATAGTTTATGGATTTGTTTCCATAGAGCATTGTTTACTTAAGGGAATTAAATTTAAGGATGTCTAGTTAAAGTTGAACTTCCTCATTGGGAGAGGAGGGTTTTATTGTTGATATTAGTAAAATGTCAGTAGATTATTATTCCTGTTACTGTCATTATTTCGGATGTTCAGACAAGTACAGATCTTAGCATTCCCTTTGATGTCGTACATTACTTAAGGCAGCACTTTGAGACAATTATTACTAATAGAATGTGATGTCTTGGCTTTAATGAAAATTTATTGAGGTCCTACTTTGGAGTAGAACTTGTTCACTCGTAACCCAGGTGAGTGTGTCGGGATGGCTTTCAGCAGAATGGGAAATAGTTTGTTAGAACTGGAAGAATTGGAAGGCTCTCCAGATATCGGTGTTATGAAGGATTCCTAACAAACTAAGAGTGATTTCGAATGTCACTCTGCCGACTGAAGTGATAATCACTGAGGTAGAGCCCACTGAACCACGCTAGAACCACATGAATTTCCTGTCGAAATGAAGTCCAACTGACCAGCTGAGGCACTGATAATACTCGCCAAGCTCATGACTTGAGTGCATTTGTGACGTATGTTTCGTCCATATTCAGGAGGATTGAACGAAAAAGATATAGGAATAAGCTGTCATGATTACACATTACCGCACCTTGCGCTGAAGTTGTCGTCTAGAAATTAAGTGGAAGCTTCGAATTCGACCCAGGTGGCTCACAGAATGCAGTCACATCAAAGTGGTACTGTTAATGTTTTCTGTCTGGTAGGTGTTGGTTGTGAGAAGAGCAAGAAATTTACCTCTTACTTGCATTCTTGCATTCAAACTCCATTTTGTCGGAGAGACGTGTTCGATTATTAAGTGGATTCAGTTCGTGGTTATTATTTCGTTCCATATGAACTACAAGTGAATGGTGTTTAAATAGAGGTTGTTTTGAGGATGATGGCACTGTATTTCTAAGTGTAAATAGTACCAGTCTCGTAGACAATCATTAGGAGTGTATCATGATCTCCATCCTTCATCTCATATTCAGAAGTGACTGGTACTCAAATGAGGATTAGAGTGAAGGATGAAAGTGTGTGGCATTCCACTTCTTTCGGGTTAAGAATGCGTTCTGATTTACTCGGATGAACTGGTTTCGCAAGTTCGTCATCCCCGCAAACAAACTCAATAGATTCTTTGGCTAGAAATGATGAAATCGATAACAAATTGGATGCATTTAGGAATAAGTCTCGTTTTTCATATTTATGTGATCCTGCAAATACTGTTATTTTAGTCAACTTTTTATTTAAACTATAGTCACCTACGAATTTTCAGTAGAGTTAACTCCATCCAAATTTATTTATCTAACTTCTAGTTGCCGAGTGAAGAAGGAACGAACAACGTTGATGTATCGAGAAGAGTCAACACAATCATAGAATTACGTTATCAATCCTTGAAAGATTGTATACTATCCTTGCCATTCCTGATGATCGCAATATGGTTTACGATTGGTCTGTTTCGTTTCTCAACATTTCTTGGACAACTCCAACGCTTGATATATGAGTCGTTTGGAGACGATGAGGCGACAGTCGATCATGTGCTTCAAATATCATCAGCATTTTCAATGTGTGGTTTTCTAGCGGCTCCAATCACCGGTTTCATACTGGACACATCTCAAGCTTACTGTCGAAGAAAGATAGCACGGAATACAAACTGGAGCATAGATAGCAGTGAGTCATACGAGAATAAAATTTACTACACGTATGTATTCGGACTGGCGCCAGGTTTGTTCATCATGGCAGTGTGTGCTGTATTTGTGAGTGGTTTAGTATTTATACCGAAAGTGATTGCCTTCTATGCAGCATTTGTCTTCTTGGTGATGTTGCGTTCATTGTTGTTTAGTGCATCTGTTGGATTTTGTTTAATCGCCTTCCCCATCCATTACTTCGGGACGGTGAATGGTATATTGAATACAATCGGTGGTGTGTTCAGTCTACTTCAGTATGCATTTCAATACACACCGACAGCATCGATAGCTAATATCATTGCAACTGTTGTCACTTTCGGGTTATTCATACCGCCTATTGTTCTTTTCAAGATGAGTAGGCGATAGTCTCAGAGTGGTGAATAACTGCGACTTCAGGGATGATCCTCACAGACATTCTCGCTTTCCCCCACTTGCTTGCTTTCTTCGTCTTTGTCGTTTATGTATGTTTTGCTATATTTATTCAATGATCGACTTATATCATGAGTGACGTGGAAATCTTCTTTCAAATAGGCAATCTTTCGTATTTTTTTAAAACGTTTTTGACGCTTACCCTTTGCAGTACTTATGAATAATTCAAGTATCTGTTCGCTATTTTATGCTTTTGTAAAAATCATGTTTTCATTCCTGACATTGTCAAGGGTTTTTATATCACAGCATTTTGTTTATATCTTTTATAAAAGCCAATATATTCAAATTACCAGTTTGCATGTTTGATTGTTTGTTTGTATGTTGTCACTGTTCAGCGCTGTCAGTGTAATCTTTCGTCTTCAGATGAAGAAGAGCATATTAATGAGACATTTATTTATCTTCTATTTGTAAATTGTCGAGAAATGTGTCTGATGTGGGCACTTTCAGTTAAATCGAGAAATATAGTAGAACAGTTGTATCATGTTGTGTGTTATAACTTTGGTCTTGTTTGATATGGGATTCGGAATAGGGGGAATTTAATAATAGGACAGCTTTTGATGGCTGAGTACCTACTAGGATTTTAATACGCTACAAGTGAATTACGTCACTTTAGTTAACATCTTGTTGTTAGGGCGGGAACTTTTCAACATTTAAATAGCATTCGTATGTTGATTTACAGATATTTAATTTGTTACAAGTTTTCACTATGAGCTCACTTTGGCTAGAGAACCATTTGACAACCAGCAGAGAGTACTATATAACAGTGTCGTCAGCCTTATTTGAGAAGCTGCTTCAGTTCGCACCATTTGGTGTGTTTTGGACACACGGCCTTCCGGTTACAAGGCGAGCTCTTAAACCGTTGTGCTTCTGTGACCCCATCCAATAGCCTTCACATGAATTCGAACTTCCACAACATCAGCGAATTAATAACACAGCGCCTGAAGAATGCAGTTAAAAAACTTATTATGCAGCAGAGGCGGTACGTTGTCTCTTTACAACCACACCTATTTTATGTTCGAGAAATAGGATAAACTACCTAAATTCGCCTCCTCTATGTGTATCTACCAGTTTGACTGCAAATGTGGAGCCAGCTACATTGGGCGTACAATTAGGCAAGTTCATCGTCGTATTTCCGAATATCATCCAACGTGGTTAAGTAAGGGACAAAAAAGATCTATTCGTAGCTCTATTTTAGCCCACCTCGTTGATACTGACAGTAAGATTGATGTTAATACAACATTTAAAATTATTTATCGCATTCCAACTTATCTTAATTTTGCTCTGTGAGTTCGTCTTCTACAGACGGCTGAGGCGATTGGAATTCATCTGAAGAAGCCAAGCCTATGTGTACAGAAAAAATTTGTACAGCCACTTTCCCTACCGTTGCCATCGTCACAAGAATGCATAAACAGGACTGCGTCACCCCCTCCCCCTAAACCTATAAAATTATATTTGTCTAAATTATTTATTTTGACCACTTTATCTTTAGTTTACGTGTTATTCTTGTAAAATTAATTTATTCTATCCATTTCCACCTTTTAAATCTGTATTGATTTTCTTCGTTAACTATTAACCCATTGACACTGTTTAATTATTGTTAACAAACTTATCGCCACTTGATTGGCAAACTGTTGTATTGTAATTATAAAATGCTATATATATCAGAGTAGAGCCAAAGATGAGGATCTAACTGAAAAGTAAATATTTCTTCGCTCAATCTTTCTGTATTCAATAATTAGCGTGAATTTATAGTTCGTTGGATCTTGTGGCACTGGCATGATTTTCTACGATGTGGCCTTCTAACCGGGTCACTGATTCGAACACTGACTGTAGGTGCATACCTGTGGGTAGACCGAATTCTGGAAGAATCATATCTCCACTTTGAAGATGTTTTCCAATGGTTCTCTAACTGGAACCTCTCCGTGGTCATAGTTGCAACACCAGATATGCCGATATCAGCTCATGATGAAATTCAAATAATAAATTAGTAAAGGTGATCGTAATTGTCATCAAACTGAGTTAAAACGTCAGGAAGAAGTTTGTTGTTTCGATGATGATATTGACAGAATTTTGTCTCTACCAGGATCAGGATAATAACAGAGGACGTGAAATACAAACAATAATAATAATAATCATAGTTAAGATATTGTGAGATACTCTGATGGTAGATTGAAAGTGACCACTTTCCCATTCTATATTGCAGAGATCATGCGTGCAGGTCAAAATTGCGCAAGAATCTGAGATCTTCCTTTCGTCTCTCTCCGTTAATCCATTGACAATGGCAAATTACCTGTCAATGTTCACATCATACTTGTAGTCTAGAAGATGCTAAGCTATGGTATTCAATTGAGACTGATAGTAGCAGTGTCAAGTTCAGGTCGGTGTCATAACGTGTATAAGTGTGGTAGTGGAGAGAATGTAGTGGGTAATGATATCTCCCTGAAAAGAATACCTCCACAGTGAACGCCTATGCACACATACACACTGTTGTGTGTACTATTAAAGATACGCGAGGATATATATAAATGATAAGTAAATGATAACCGACCGATCATAACGGAACACGTGATGAGCATGTCTCGTAGCTCAGTTTGAAATACGTGGAATGAGAATGGGCATGAGAGTTTGAGAAATAAGATTGTAACAGGCTACTGCATTAGTGGCACAGCGGTAGAATGCTCTCGCACCACACATGTGGTCAGGGGTTCGACTACTGGCCAACGTAATCCTTTACCTCGCTAAGCCAGTAATAAGACTGGTAAAGTGGGAAGGTCGGGGGAGTGCATGAGGCTAGAAACCCCATCCCGTTAAAGTAATAAACACCACTACTACTGCTACCGAAACTTCAAGCCTCTATCTTGAAGCTCTAGGTTCCACTAGGATCATGAAGGAATACAAAAGAAGGTAACTCAATGCAGACCAACCTTCATGACTTTTAAAATTAATCAATAAAAATAAAGAAGAGCTATGAGGTCATGCTTTGGAAGTAATTCTCACTCTGATTCAACTTCTACAGTTATGGAAGGAACATCGCATACGATAAACTAATGGATTTATTTTGCATAAAGTGAGGAAAGAGTTAAATTATGTGTAGCCTAAATTTATCCTCAAGGATTTTCTTCGGTTAATGTCAACTTCTGTTACAGCATTCGTAGGACATCCGTAGCACTGCAGCTCAAATTTATCTTGATCGTGTGTGTGTGTGTGTGAGAAGGAAACTGTTGGATCTATGAACTGATAAGAAATAAATAGTGGTTTGCTGCTTTGTAGTAAACATTAAATAAGTTCAATGATTGAAGGTAATTTCCAAGATTTCATTGATTCGAGTTTCGTCTCTATTTCACTGGCGTTCATCAGCAGGGCATATCTGTAACCTGAATGAATTGAACTAGCTTTTACCCAAGAAGTTCAGACACCAGTGAGAAATTGTAAAAAATGACCTTTTCCGTGGTAGCAAATAATCTTCCGTAGGAATAATTTGGATACATTAAATACTCGCTAGGAATTATTCAATTTAGTGTCATTTCATGCATTTGTCTACTCTTCATTTAACTATATTTGGGCTGAAATGAGACCATATTATTCCGATTGTGAATAAGTCAGAGTTTATTTTTCTCAGTAAAGTACCGTTCAGTTTCACATTTCCTCTCTTTTTAAAAAAATATGTGAATAAATGAGGCATGGTAATACAAATATCTAATGGCATTACTCACAATTGACATTTTATTCAAAAGCACATCGTTGCTCTATAATAAAACGCTGGGTATGATCACCTCTCCAGTAAAATCAGATCCAATCTCATGGAAGCAACTTCTAGTGTATTCATAGAGATGATTAGAGATAGATTAAGTAACCACAGTCGAATCTCATCATGCTAATTTCTCAGTATCGTCTCCTTTATTCGGAAATGCTGGTTGAATTCACACGGTTCGATTTGTCTTCTAGCTGACAAGGCATGTTGATTTATCTTCAGGGGTGCTGCTAAACTACCAGGCCATTAGAAATAACTCCGACTACAATTGTGGAGTATGATATTTCGAAATTCTAAGCATTAGACTAAATAAATCCAACTAAGTTTAGAGTAATATCACGATGACGACTGCCTACACAACACAGTTTCATAATTGCAGGGTTTCCTCTACAATGTTAACAACAGTCTAACTAGTTTACTTCCAATATCTTCGGACACTTATCGCTTAGAATTGCTCTCAAAGATGTTACAGCTGAGGTATTTCTGGTAACGAATAATCTTCTGTACAACTGGTGTCAATGCATTGATTAGCTAGCGGGAATTATTTAAGTGTCATGCTATTTCCGTGCTATTTTATTCACTTAACATTTGATCCCAATTTTGCTGGAAATGTCATGAATGATAAAGTACACCGAAATGAAGCCAGACTAATTTCTGACTATGGAAACGACGTAGTTATTTGGTTGTCTTCTAGTGAAATCCTGTTTTATTTTTCAGATTTATCAACTTCCTTAAATATGCTGTGATAAAATAAGTGATGATAATGTAAATGCCGAATGGCATTACTCATGGATTCTATTTTATGCCAAAGAACATTGTTCTTATACATAAAAGGACAGTTGATCTCATTACCTATCCGTTATTATATTTAACCGGCTTTGACGAAACCAACTTCTAGTTTATTCATAGATCGTAAGGGAGAGATCCCAACATCTCAATATCATCTTCTCTATTCGCTAATGATGGTTTTGAATTCACACACTTAAGTTCGTCTTGTCGTTGTCTAGACATATTCATGTGTCGGTGAATTTAAACTATCCTAGTAAAAGTCAAGACCTGTGAAACACTGACCTTGCAGTGCTGGTGAGATTAGGCGAACACTGAGAAAAGGCGGTGGCAGGTCAAATCCTGTCTGCCTTATTGGAGATAGTGAGAGTGGATTCAGTATTCCACTTATTCCCCAAGTATCGTCTTCTGTGAATCGATACTGTCAGGTAGGTTTAGTAATTTTAGAGTTAAGGTTGAGATTCAGGTGTAGGGTTAAGAGTAGGACTAGAGTTATGGCTAGGTTAGGAATATCAATGAATTCTTAGGGACCCAGCTCTGCTAAACAACCAGTCCATTGGAAACGACTCTGACTACAGTTTTGGAGGATTCTAGTTCGAAATTCGAAGTATCAAACTCGTTAAATCCAACTAGGGTTAGAGTTATATCACGGTGACAACTGCCTACACAATAGAGTTTTATAATTTCAGGATTTCCTCTACAATGCTGACAACAGTCTGACACTGAAATAATCAAAGTTCATTAAAAATGCAAGCCAGCAGGAGAGTATACATCAATCACAACATCTTAAAGCTTCAGGTTACTAGGGTGATTTGATTAAATGAGGGGTTTGACTTAAATTACTTCATTTATGAACTTGTGATTGTGACAGGCTCCATCCAGATGATAAGTCTAGTCATTATTTTCTGTTGGAATAATTCGATGGCACTCCACAACATCATGATGATAAATCCAATTGTCAATATCTCCATAACCCTTATTCGACTAGATTATTCGCGCTAAAGTTCAAACAGACTGCAAGACGTTTGAACCCATTTAACCGATGCACGTGATTTGTAGCCTAGTTCACTAGTGACATTTAATATCAACGATTTGAATTTTTTTGTATTTATTTTATGAAAGTGTCACATGGTGCATGATGATTGTTCAATTCAAGTGAAGAATAATCATTCAATGAGTGAGTGAATTATAAGCGCGGTCATTCAAAGTATGGCATGCATGCAATGGACTTGTAAATAAGCATGACTTGAATAATTTGTTCTGGTCAAGTGTGAATTTCTCGCCTTTATGAAGAACTGATTGTGCGTGTGTGTGTATGTGTGTGTAAGTGCACTGTCGGGGTTTCGTAACAAAGCATTTGTCCATTATTAAAGAAGATTCACGATATTATTGTGTCAAGAATAACAGTGATAATAGTAGGGTTGAGTAGGATAATTTCTAAAATAATAATAATAAATTGTTATATTGCATAAGATAATTGATATAAGTATAAAACTTGGGCACTGTGGTGGTAGAGTATAACTAACTCCATTATGGATAAGATTTTATTTTCATAAAGTGTCACACAGTGTGGTTACACAGTAATATTAACTGATGACCACCTTTCGAGCAGAAATTATTGCCCATAATCATATCAAGGTACTCACACAATTTTCTGGCTTCATTTATATACATGAGTGAAAATGATGATTAGACATTTGATTGAATAAAAATCAATATAGGATAATGTACATTCAGAAAATAATAATATGAGTGTTATTGATCAATTACAATCAGATGAGAAATAAGACGGGTTTTTTTATAGTCATAATAAGTAACTTGTTAGAATGTTATGATGTATGTGAATTGAATTGAAATAGAATACAATTTAAGATGATTTATTGTCCTCCTCTGATTTGACTGACTGACTGACTGGTGGCAATATTATCTTCCATATCTCTGGTTCCAGATATTTTGTGTCATTTCTGTTGCAGGTGTTAAGTGTAGACGCGATGAGCAAGGATTCAGTGATCAACCTCTCTGTCCACCTACCTATATTACTTCTTAGAATCTCAACCCTCTCCCACCCACCCTATTGTGTGGTTCTGTGTTAATTCATGCAGTGCAATTGCTGAGCTTTTTTCTAAATTACTCATCTTCTCAGGGTCAAATATTCTTACCTTAGCTAAATTCTTATGT